GTGAACCCCACTTGTTCCATCGGAAAATATTTTAATTTTAGTTTAAATTTAATTTTCCCTTGTTTTCTTATGGTCGTCCCTTCCCTTTTTCTGACGGCGGCGCAGCACAAGAGTGACGGTTGTAATTATTCCATCCGGGGGGTTAAGGAGTAGACATGTACTTACTGAAAGTTGTAGGCTTGAGGAAATCGTTAAACTGATCAAACTTCCGCGGGACAACTAGCCAGATAGTACATGCCCTGACGCGGGGAAGATAGGAGCTAGCTGTAGCGCCGGAAGCCCCAAGGACCAATTCAGTACTATTCTTAGGGGTCGTCACATAACTACATCGGTTCTTGTAACGGGACAACAACGGGAGGTGTCAGCGGTATGTGAAAGTAAAAAGTCTCACCTCTCGAATGGTCGATCATAAGGATTCCAACGGTAACCATGTTAGGATAAAGATTGGAGAAGTGCTGAGAAAGTGAAAGAGGATAGATTAGGAACTTCCGGGAGGGATTTTCTAGCGTTTGATTCTACAGAATTATTGGATATTTTTCTAGATGGCTTGGCCATTCCATTGCGGGAGTTTAGCTTTAGATGCATTTGCGCTTAGTCAAGCAGAAAGTATGTGGGTGCTTCTTTATCCTTGATGAGAAGGTCTGGTTCTTCAAGTAGCACACCAGAATGTGACATTCTTCCATTTGCAAATCCAGGAAAATGATGTATCTGATTTTGCTCGGTTTTGGTCTAGGGGAGTTTTTGATAAGGTTTCGTCTCAGCAGACCAGGGAAACTCGGTTCATATGTATTATTGTTATGTTGGTTGTGTTTTATAGGAAAATCACAGACTCCTGGTCTCGGTTTGTCTTTATCGTCCGTTAATCTTAATTAAGAAATCGTCTTAGTGACGAACACTCAGCAAACAATCGGCATATGGTTGGGTTGTAGATACGAGGGATTATGCAAAAGTCCGCGGCAGCTCAAAGAAATAATGTAGACAGATTTTTTTTCAGTGAAGAATTTACCAATCCAGTGTTTCTCGGCCTCCGTAGCTTGATTGACTACCCTGTCAATAATGTTACGGACTACGTGCATGTAGGTGTCACGCTCTTCTTGCTTTTTTCTCAACTAATGGTGGTAACCACTATGCAATTGCCAGGCGTTTTGAATTTATTGTCTGGTTTATCATCACCCTCCCAGGCTCTAGGGTGGACTAATATTCACAATCTGTAAGGGTTGGAACTGCTGCGACGCTTGCGTCCGAACTACAACAGCCCACCGTCGGCTGTCGTGTCCCGTTGACCTCTGTCCACCGACCGTTGTCCGGCCTTACCTTCGACTCCCGGGACGGACTCACTGCTGCCCGCTGTCTGGTATATTATAGATTGAGATCGATAGGAAATATGGGAAATGGAAAAGGCGGGACGCACACGGGATCTGCTGCACTGGTTCCACACGTTTGGAAAGTGTACATGGGATTCGTGCAAGATGAAAGATTCATTCCTGCGCTTGCTGGGGATTAAATAAATTCTAGCCTATTCCAAATACGGGAACTGGGATTTTCCCCACCAGAATCGGGTTAATCTCCTTTCTGTGGATAGATAGGAATCATGAATCATCTATTGCCGCCTGTGTACACTGCGCATGCGCCTAGAACCTGAGACTGAGAGGAAGGGAACTTGGCATGACCAGGATTCGAAGATAGTCTGTGATTGGACCCAGCTGGGATGTCTTTCGTCCCCTCAGTGTAGGAGCCATATTTTCCTGCTTCTTACCTCTACTGCCACATTTCACACGTAAGTTTTTATGCGAAGGTAATTGGAAATGATCCTGAAAGTTCCTTTGAATGCATTTTGGTTAGATACGCGAATCCATAGTAGGTGGAGGAGGATCAATGAACCGGTTATCCGGCGTTAAGTTCACCTCATTCAAAGATAAACATTTGAGAAAGGATGTAAATAGATAATTACGTCTGGTTCGCAACACTGGAGACAACATGCCGTGGCTCATAATGCAGCATCATGTACGAGGACTAGTCATCAGTATATACAACTGTGTTACCTAAGCAGTAATAGTCGACCTGCCTTGGCGTTAGTCCATTATATCTCGATGCAGTCTCCAATGCTGCTCCCTTCGTGGCACACGTTTTAGGATACCCGTTTGAAGATGGCTCTTATATCGCTGCAGAACCGCCTACCCCGTAGGGCGGCTTCCAGGACCCGGAAAGGTGAAAATCTGTTGGGGTCAAGTCTGGGTTTATAGGTGGGACAGCAGCGCTGCCTATCCGAGTTATACCAGTGACGCCTATTGTGCCCTGCTTAACAGTGGCCCTGTTGTCCTTGTAGGAAATGAGTGTAGAACCACGGATGTCTCAGATTAAACTGCGTAAACTGTCCTGACAGACAGTTTAACGCCTTACCGGGACGAGGCTAGCAACCGGACTCTGTTTGTCTTATAAGCCCCCCATCGCTGTTCTCTACCGCATTGCGTTGAAGAGTGCATTTTTAACATATGAACCCTCTCATCTCCCTTTTCACCTATCAGTTATCATTAGGAAATCCTGCCACGGCCAAGATGATGCCTTTGACCGGCTGCAGAATGGGTCAGTATCTGAAGAGTATACCTCTTCAGGAAAATTCCTGGAAAAAGCTTACGAACCCGAGTTAGAGCCGAGAAGTGCTTACCATGCCTGGATCTATCTGGGTCATTATCTTCTTATTCCATTCTATACGGTCCATCAAGGGAAATTTCAAGTTATGGCACATTAGCTCGTCACAAGAGAAGAGATAAATATTCCACGAAGAGTGACAGCCACTTAAGATCCTTTGACGGAGATATCCAAAAGCCGACTCAAAGCTCTCCAAATGGGTGAATAAACCTGTTCTAGCTCTCCAGGAAAGATCTCGACTCTGTTCTTTTAGACGCGTCAACACGTGAGGTGACTACACGATCAGCTAACTGTGAAAACGGATTTGTGCCTGACAACTGAGTGAGCTTTTTGTAATGGAGAGTAAAAAGAAAAGGGGAAGTTGCAAATTTTAAGTATAATAAGTGATCATGGGTGTCAGGAAAAGTATATAATGGCAAAAAAACTAAATAAGGTAATGGTATTTTCGGTCCGCTATAACTTTTTACTTCCTTGGCATGTCGAATGAATTTGCTGCAGTTCTACATAACGTTCGAGTACTCGAGTATTTGAATTTTTGCAGCCTCTACCCAATGGAATAGCAATAGTTACATATGTTGTCGTGTTGAAAAGTTTCTGGAAAGATTTTTAAAGTTTAGGTAGATAATGTAATGCACTTTATTGACCTTTAGACCCTTATCTCTCCTTGACGGGTTGCGCACGTTGTGTCACTTGATGTGGATGGGTAATTATTGCATGAAAACTGGTAAAACACTCAATTTAGTGCAATATATTGTTCACTAGGACCGAAACTGGCACCACCTCTTGTGTCACTGATTTGCTGTCCGGCGGCATAAAGGGGTCTTTGACCCTTTTTATCTTTGACTTGGGTGATCTAGACTCTTTTTCTGGATTTAGCGATCATTCACTATGAGGAACAAATAGCAATAAAACAAGTTTCCGTTTCTGGCTATCACAGCTGTGTCTACTTGATGAAAGGCGGCTGTTGAAAGGGAATTACTTGTTTTGTATTTGTTCCCGTGATAAGCGCAGAGCTTAAGGTTGGGTCGTGAAGAGGCATTTATGAATCTTATTGACATCCCAAATGATGGTGGAGTACTCTGTAAAGATAGGTATACCCCTCTCAAGGGTAGATAAGAGTTGTGGAAGTGGGTCAGTCTGGAGCTTGATTCTTAACAGCCATATTCCATCCTTGGCTGGACTTTAAAATTTCCGCTGAAGACTTATTCAATTCCTTAACACATTCCACGCATTTAATACCCAATGAGTAGAGAGGTAATCTCAAACTTCTCAAATGAAGTTTGCACTGCTCGAACATATTTCTTCCCGTGCTGCTGTCACTATAGAGTTGGACTAAGCCCTATGTTTTCTATGCCCTTAATTATTGATATATTGAATGCCTGGATGACTTTCTCCTTTTCTTTGTCCCGCAAACATTTTACCGCGTTTGCTCCTGAAAATTTTCCAGGCCCAACTCGTTTAAATGCCTGACTAATCCTTGAAGTGTTCATTTCTTGGCCTCCAAAATCGACTGCATACAATGAAAGGAATTTACCTATAGGACATACAAGGAAGGCATTTCCATTTGCGACCTCGTGCTGCAGCCTTGATAAATTAGGAGTAATGTCATGCAGGGCTCCAAGTAACGCATAAACTATTTACTGTAGTACTTGAATGTTTAAAACTCAGGACATTTGTAGAAACTTCAACTTTTAAAATCAAGTGAAACCTGAAGGCGACAGCACATCCCGATTTTTACTTTGAAAGACAGCCGCCTATTTTGAAAAGAATCTGTGCGATGTCGAGCTCACGTCGAACTTTTCGATGTGTTCGATTTCAATAGCAATTCACCTTGTGCATTTTACAGGTAACATGTCTGGAGAAATTCACAATTATTTAATGAAAGCCTCGCATTGCACCGCCAAGAACCTCTATCGTAATTATTACTCCCGATGTTCCATACAGGAGAAAGCGATACCAATCGAGTACTACCAAGACTACTATTAATGTATAGAGTATGGTCAAGTGATGTAAGAAAACCCCCAATTGTTATCCTAGACGTAGGTAGGCGACAAAAAAGAATTCTCTCTTACATGGGATCAGGGGATGCGAAATGAAGCGCACACTGATGCCTTGGTGCATGGATGAGACAATGGTTCCTCGATCTTTCTGCGTTTCAATTTAATTGCCTTATCAGTGCGGTGAAAAATGAGGGCGTGATAGAACAAGGGGATTTGGTTTGTTCCGGTCTGAATAAAGATGGAGCGGGCTTTATGAGAACGGGAGTTTGACCAACTGTCATCGAAGGGAAATCAGAGGTGCCATAGAAATTAAGAACAAGTTCACGAGGAATATGGAATCCATGATCGAGCATGGAGTTGGTGTGGAGAGACAAATAAGTAATGCTTCAAGGAATACGGACGAAAGCATCTCATCTTTCTACCGTGAACGCAACTGGTCCCTTTTTAAACTGAGGGTAATCATGATTGATTCTCTGTTTCACCATCTGGTCGTGCTTTTGCCCTCATAGTTTTACTTACCTGCAGAGCATATGCCGGAATCAACCCGGGCTGGAGATCCTCTACCAAAAATATCAGAATCGACTCAGGCATTCATATTTCATCGTCTTCCTCCTCATTCAAGCCTTTCTCAGTACTGTCACAATAGTGATGGAATGCATCGGTCAATGCGTAAGAGTGAAAGGCATAGCCTGTATTGGATAGAGTGTTACATATTCACGAATGAAAGTCCTCTTGCTTTGAAGCTGGAAGATTTGGTGGAGGTGGTGATAACTCATGGGATCGTGTTGGCTGTCTGCATCATTCTCTTGATAGCCATCCATAAGGAGAAATTATTTCTCCAGGCGCCTTCTTCAGTATCGTTCAAAGATGGATCCCGATCTTCGGGTTTGAAGACCCTCGGAGATTCATTGGGACTCCTCAGCGTCAAGTCACGGTCTTCCTGGATCCGGAAAGCCAGCACTGTCTTGATTTTCATCCCCCTCCTCGCCATGCAAATCACGATGGCCTTGGCATACGCGTTAGTCATCATGCCTTTCTATTGACCCGGCATTCAACTTCTTCCACGTCCCGTGTTGCACCCTGTTCTTTGGCAGGGAATCTTCTTTCTCACTCTGGCACACTAGTGAATACTTGCATGATTTCCTTTTTCAGGAGTGGTAGAAGCTTTACGACTCACTGGGATTGGAGTTTGTACATGGTGCTGGTGTGCTACATCTTTTTCCCTTTGGGGGTGTCCGTAAATGCAGTTCTCGCCATTCTCGTTTCTCTCGTCCCCATATTTATGTCTGTGTTCGTGAAGTCATCTCGTGAGTCCGGGGACAGAACCCGGAAGGTATGTCCACCTAATCTTCAGTGGAAACGCTAAAATAATCGTGTGAGGATTCACCGTAACGGTCGGTTCATTTAGGTGCTAGTCGACTTCTTCGTGATGGTAGCAGGGAATGCCGTGGGTTTATATTTCTGCTTCATGACCGAGATCGCGCTTCGAAGATCCTTCTTAGACAAGAGGGCATCTATCGTTGCCAAGTACATGAGGGAATACGAGGAAGAGACAGAAGTGAGATGAAGTTCTTACTGTCAGCACTTTCTACCGCCTAGTTATTCATCCAATATTATTATGGTCATACACTATATCTTATGGATGGGTGATGTAGGAGCACTTGCTATCAAGTATCATACCGGAGACGATGGTAACGGAATTGAGGAAGTGTTTGAGAGAGGCCGTGGTGGTGAATAAAAGAAACAAGGATTACTCCATCGTCCCCATTCTCCCCAGCCTTTCTACGAAACCCTTCGCGAAGGTGTTCGCACATTTCCATGAGAATGTGAGCATCCTCTACGCGGATATAGTCAATTTTACCCCTCTCACCGCATCTATGAATGAGGAAGAGCTCGTGAGACTTCTCAACGATCTCTTCGGGAAGTTCGACAAGGCCGTTAAGGTTCGTCTCAACGTCCTCAATGAGCAAATTCGTATAAGATCATCTCGCTTCGCATGAAATTAGTTATCTCTCTCTCGCAATAGGAGTTCAATTGCCTTCGGATCAAACTCCTCGGTGACTGCTACAATTGCGTGTCGGGGATCCCAGACAGCACGGAAAATCACGCTTGGAACTGTGTGCTTTTGGGTCTGAATATGATTGCTATCATCAGAGAAGTCCGGTTGGTTTTCTCGCTTTCCGCTCCCGCATTAAGACAGCCGCGATTATGCAAATCGTTGGGGAAGAATTCGGGCATTTCTTTCCAAAAAGAATCCTTCATTTATCAGATCCAAGTCTTAAGCCAGTCAGCACATGCTCGAATTGTGTGGTTTAAACACCGAAGAGAAACATGACGTAATAAGGGTGCAAGAATTGCCGCAATTGACATGGCATTTAAAAATGTGCATTTATAATTGCTATCGATTCTAATGATATATGCTACATGCATGCATCCACGAGAAGCTATTCTTAGCCAGATGTAACTTTTATTGCCACTCCAAAATGCCTTCAAAGAAGAGGACATCACGAATTCTTCGATTTGCTGTATTGTATTGCTCAATTTCGTCCTTTGTTCTTACTCTTTTGTCACCTAGCTGTTCTTTAGGGAAAGGGGAGGGGGGACAGATATAAAGTACATCAAGAATACTACTTGGAGGCAAATTAAGTAAAATGTATTTAATGTTGAGTTAACAAACCATATAGGACCATCACATGAGACTGACATCTGAAATTTCCCCATTAGGTAGAAATTAGATAGCATAGCGTTACGTGGGTCTTGCTCTCTTCTCAAGTTGGTTGATTGGATTTGTCGGGTTAAAGATGTAGTGTCCTTAGTAATCCGGAAGGAATACCCAAAACCGGTGGATAGTACAGCATATTTCCCTGAATGGCTAAGTTGCATGGGGTTTTAGGAAGAAGTGGGGAGGAATAGACGTTGACATGAGGATCGGAATCCACAGTGGAAGTGTTTACAGCTGCATTCTCGGAATCTCCAAGTTGCAATTTGATATCTGGTCCCCGGACGCCAAAATTGCCAACCATATGGAACAAGCTGGACGACCAGGGTAAGGCCCAATCCCGGAATAGCGTCAGTCAATACTAGGAGATGAGGTATTAGCTCTCTTTTTGGTTTCTATGCATTTTTTAGGTGCGTTCACATCAGCCAAGCAACTTGCACGGCATTGGGGGAGAACCACGGGTTCTACTTCGAACCAGGGAGAAGGGATAGTTTTTTGGAAGAGAAGGGAGTCACCACGTTCTTCATCCCTATTTCTCGTAACAGACATTTTGTATCTGTGGAGACATTAATCTCGACAGAGGGACTAATTTCTGTCCAAAATGAGATGAGTCGTCAGCCTTTGTTGCCGAACTCGTAAGTTTACAATAGTTCCTTCTTCCCTCGCCTGAATCATTGGGCCTCTCCAAATCATGCTGCTATTTTCAACAGATATGAACTGAGGCAAACTCTGCGAAGGATCCAAAGAGAGTTATATTGGGTAATTAGTTTCTTTCTCTATCCTTGTCAGATTTTGATCCATCATGCACCATAAGATAGTTGAATCTCGTTCCGATATGACACATGTTCATCATAGCAACGGAGGTCAGTGAGATCAGAGAACAGAGAATCGCTAAAAGGAATTAATCGCCGGGAAACTGATATCATGACTGCAAATCAGCACGCGAGCATGATACAAATGCTAATGAAAGAAGCCCAAATGAAGATGGAGGAGGATCTAGATGAAATGCCTCTCAGTATACACTCGTAAGTATGCATATTTTCAATCAAACGATTCATAGACTCGAGGATTGGCCAATTCAGAGTAATGTGTACACGCAGGCAGTGGCTTGAGACAGAGGAGATTCAACCGTACTTCTTAGCATTTAAGGACCTGAAGTTAGAGTGGGATTTTATCCGACAGCCCGATATGCTGATCAAGTATCCCATCTTGGCTGCCTCCGTTCTCATCATCATTCTCGGCATCATCGAAATCCTCTCCGGACCTGAGTTCGTGAATTCACCCGTCTTCCCGATATTTGTTATTCATTCACTGATATGAGGCGATATGCAAAATGCAGGACGGTTGGCATCATAGTTTGGGTTATGGTTATCCTGTTCCTGCTCACTCTAACCATTTGGACTTGGATTGGCTCCATCCGTGCAAAATGGCTGAGATGGAAGAATTCCCTGGAACAGCTGGAACCACTTGTATGGAAGATGGAGAAGGTACCCCAACGTCTCATTGTTTCTTCATGGATTCGAATCTTGCTCTTCTTCGCCTCTGCCTCTGGTGCCATTCTGGTCGCTACTATTTCCCATATCGTTCAATGCACGGGATCGACGATCGGCAAATGTTCATTCTCAAGGGTCCTTTTCCAATTGTCTTCTTTCAGCCTTTCGCTTCCGACATTCCATTGACGTTCCATCTCTGTCTCCAGTCTCTGACACAGGAGTTCGCGGTGGTGCTGAGCACGATCTTCGTCTTCTATCACATTCATTTCCTGTTGAAGCTGGGTGCCATGGTGGTAGCATTGAGTATTTACGGGATCGTTGAACAGATGCTTTTCCACAAACAGCTGTCTGAATGGGACAAGAATTCGGTTCTCCAAGAGGAATCATCTCTTCTTCCGCATGTTCACTATCTTCTCGCAATATTCCTTCTCCTCCATGTCATCGACCGACAAGTATTAAATACTTCACTCTCATTTACCTCCTCCTTACCTTTGCTCACAATGGTTTCATCCTCCAGAGTGAGTACTTGTTCAAGTTGGAGTATAAGTGGAAGAAAAGCCTGCTAAAGGAGCAAGAAGATGCGGAGTTGGCGGGAGAAGTGAACCGATCGCTCATATTCAACATACTACCAACTCATTTGGGTGATGAATGGGTTTCAGTCTCTCTTTAGTACTATTCAAGGATTCGTTTAATATTTGTGTACTGGTCGAATCCGTTTAATATTTGAATCCAAATTGATCGAGATCCCTTAGGCATTCTTAAACAGTCTTTCATTAGCCTGAGATGAGCTGAGAGTGTGCACTCCCTCTCGACATATTCTTTCCTGTCTGGACATGAGTGATTAGTTAATTACCCTATTCTATTCTTTCTCTTCCTCGTATTTAGACTTCAGGTCTGGAAACAGCCCTCTGGATACAGAGTTTTTTCTTCGTGCAGCTCTTTGTTGTTTGTAATGCGTATCAGCATTCTTGAGTGCAGCAATTGTTTTCTTTTTTGAGGAATTTTCAGGAATATCTCGTTAGCCAGAAGACTTTCCCAGGAGGCGAGTCTTATAAAACAAAGCAAGAATTCAGCAGGGAACTTCAATCGCTGATTTCTTATTTCCCCTCTAGTGTCGTGTTGGGTAGCCCCGTGGATTATTTTCTTTAGTGACTTTTTTGCACTTACCCTTCTACGTAAAAAGATCATTTTGGCGTTAAAGCATCATGTCACAAAATCTGATCTAAGTGAATCTTGGTTTCATTGGGTCAGATATTATAGTATTTCGTTAGGTGTAGGGGCGAGTTTGCGTCTGGGCAGGAAGCAATCTGATTTCAGACTTTTGTTACACTCTGTCTCCAGCTGAAAGATACTTGCACCAGAAGCACAAGAAGGAACTTTACCACGAGAGGTATCATTCTGCAGCTGTGATGTTTGCCACGATCCTCAATTTCTGGCCGGAGGAAGATGCGAATTTGGAGAGGATTCGAGTGGAACTGGGGGCTGGCAATGAGCTTGAAGTTAAAAGAAACTCTCTTTCTTTTCTCAACAGCATCATCAGCGATATCGATCAGGTTATTTCAGTTAATACCAATTCACATGTGTTTAGGCGTAACTTGGAGCCTCGAAGTGGGCAAGTTGCATGGAACAAGAGGTTGCATACACAGTCAACACCAGGCAATAAAGGGGTTGGGGGGAATCTTGATACGACCTCTGGAAATATAAAAACTAAGTAATCTCTAGCTACTTGCATGCCTGGCAGTACCAAGATCGCCTAGAATATGCCTTCATTCTTCCTTCCCTGTGAATATCTCTATGCAGCTCCTGCTCTCTCACAATCGGGTGCAGAAGATCAAGCTGATTGGAACGACATACATGGCAGCCGTGGGCCTAGAACCTAGGATAGAATCTTACGTAGATTCTCAGGATGATAATGCAATGGCCACCCGGAACAGCACCTCAATGGTCGCCTTCGCCGCCGCCCTCATCGACCTTATCATTCAACGCAATCGACATGGCTACCAAAATCTCTGCGTCAGAATAGGTGACCGAGAGAGACTGGTTAACGATGAGTAAGACGATTGTTGGCATAATTGGTTGATGGATGGGATGCTGGATATGTGCAGGGATTGCGTGCGGTCCAGTGATAGCGGGGGTGGTGGGAGACGAGAAGCCCCTCTACGACATCTGGGGAGATACTGTGAACATGGCTTCCAGGCTGGAATCCACCGGAGAAGAATGGAAGATTCACATCTCGGAAGAAGTTAACAATTTCCTCCGACGCCATGACATCGCCTCTTTTTATCGAGGTTTGACCAAGATCAAGGGTAAGCCTCAGCGGATCCCCACATATTTCGTGGACCTTGACAGGTTCAGAAAGAAGCGACAGCACTTGAACGGCTTCGCCACTCCAGTTATCCCGGGTTCGTTCCGTCGTCTCGACCCAAAGCATCGCTTTGCAGTGAAATCCACCAGCGATCGGTTGATGTGTCACGATAAGAGCCTGGATCCAAGACGCATTGTTCTGCAGAGTTCGCTCGATAGCAAGAAAGAGCACCTTCAAAGGACGCACAAGCCGCTGGAGGATCTGTACGACCTTTATGAAATCCTTGACCTAGGTGATACTGATGAAGATCACGAAGAAATTCTGACTCAGAATGAATGAAGTTATTGATGTTATCATACCAATCTTGGCTCATTCATTTCGTGCAAGCTAGAGTCTGGAGTCTTCATTCCAGAAATAGTTGAAATCATTTTGAGGATGTATCGATGTCTGGCACTTCAATTAAATTACGAACAAGATAAAGAAATGCGATATTTCAGAACACATTTTATGCCGATTAGATGTAATGAGACTTGGAGAGGAGATTAAAACGTTTTGAACAGAAGCGAAAGGCAGAATGCAACCATATTAAGGTTGGGACTGATTTGGATTACAGGTTAGGTGAGGATGGGAAAGAGCTTACGGATTCTCCAATATTTCTTCCACACTTCGTCAGCCATTGTTTTGATACCAAGGAATACTATCGAGAATACTATCTAGATAAATGATACTATCCCAATGAACATCCAGGGAATTAGATGTGCGGCAAGCAAGGATAGGTGTGATGGCTTTCTACGGGGCATTCAAGTTGTCTTATGTTTATATTTAAAAATCGAAAATGTGTTCATAAGAATCAATCTAAATTCTCAGTGCAACCTAATTGGTTTTTGCATCTCAAGCCTTTTTCACATTTCGCATATTTCTTCCTCATCCTGAAACATTTTGTCGTTGCAATACCTGACATTGTAACAGAAGGCACCCAAGAACTTAAAAAGCAGGAATTCTGGGAAGAGGAGACGGGCTCTGCTTGGGAGACTATTCCCTCCCTGTTTTATTACGTCATACATAATAGGTTTGAGGAGTAACCCCACACCTCGATCATTTGTTGTTCCCCTTCTCGATTTTTTAAAAGCCAAGTGTAAGTGGGAGTTTCAACAGGCCACAGGGAGGAAATTGAACGAATTCATTACCTTGCTTCTGTTAAAAGGTTATCTTCATTGACATTATCGTAGTACCGTTCACGATGATATTGGGAGTTACCTTCTGAGGAATGGACTAAGAGAAGAGTATCGTATAACCCTTTGTCTTCGGCAAGCCACTCCGAATTTATTTTCGGTGTCATACCCCGAAAAGATTACTATTAATACATCCCCATTGGCATATTGCGCGATGCAATAATTAGCTACATGAAGTTCATCTTCTGATAAGTCTCAAAGTCGAAGAAAACATTTTCCCGAAGATTTCATTTCCTTTTGTGCAAGGTGGCAGATTATTCGATTGAATGATTTTTTTTTTATAGCCATCGCAGACTTGGTCGTCACGCAGGTATTTTGTCGCAAAGATGTAACAGGTGTCACAATACCAAGTCTTTTTGCCCTGTAATCATTATCATGACATGACGGATTGATGCTTCAACGGATTGTAGTCGGCTATTTGAAGCAGGAGTTTTTGGAAGCGTAGATAGGTTTTTCTCAATATCAACATCATAGCTTCAATAATACCTAAAGTTTCAGAATGAGATGCAAATGTCATCTACCTCCTTTTATTGATGCTACTTCAAATACTTCTTCCCATCATATGATAACATAAAAATCGCGTCACTCTGGAGGTGGAATAGGGTCCATGTAATCTTCGTGGTCTCGATTATTATGAAATTGAGGGAAATATTCCTTCAAGATGGGAGTCAGTCAATTCCTCGCTTTAGGTAAGAGAGGAGAACATTTATAAGAATTAAGGCAGTGAGCGATAGCTGTATAACCTTAATGCCTTTAGAAAAGCCACTCTCCGAATTTATCTTCGGGGATCCGCTAGGAAACCAATACGGAATCGTCTTCCAATTATAATCGACAGAGAACATTTACAACTGGTCACTTTAATAAATGGGTGAAACCAACGTTTTAGAGGCTTGTGATGGGGAGGTAGATTTTTATCGGTATACCCCTCAAATATCTGAGAAAGTTCTGCAGATGTGCGTGCTTCATTGACAGCGGAATGGTGTTACCATGTCCTTCGCTTCTGTGTGAACTGATTGAATGCGTATTACGTAGATGCGATACCCTGGAGGCCACTGTCGGAGGAGATGGATGTTAACTTAATGTCTCTTTAACATACCTCTAACATCCGCATTAAGGGTTTTCTTGGCTTATCGAACCTAGAATTATGCTGTCTTAGCCCAACGCGCTTGGCCTATTCGTCTATGCCTTTCCAGACCATAGGTTGGTGGAGGGGTAATAAGACCATCTGCACCAGCCTGTCTTTGGACGCGGATGGGTGTAGCATATTAGGCCAAGTAATAGTGTTGAATGTTAACGGCGTGGTGTATACAAACTGGAAGTCAAGAAGCATTCGAGACTTGTAAATTAATTGACTTCATCTAAAAGGAGACAAGTATCTTGTATAATAAATAACTGGAAAGGCAAAGTGATCTTGCTTTTGAGAAGGAAAGAAAATGTTTTCCAAGGAATGTATTCAATGAGTAACTTGTGCGTTCAACACCAAGTTAGCACCGTCTTCAGGTTTTCCTAATAAGGAAGCAATTTAGATAAAAGGTGAAGGTTCTAGGTATTATTGAGGTCAGGTTGATGAATGTCCTGCCCGAAGTCTTGTTGGAGTGGGCTGTATTTTCATGGCAGTAATAATCAGATTTCAGTCCTGCTAAGGAAAGTTGCCATTCTCAACATATAGGCTGCTAGATTACTTTTGCAGATGAAGTTTTTTTCTACCAATCGCTTCAAGTCCAATTGGTCCCAAAAAGTCTGTTTGAATCATTCCATTAAAGCTACATTAAGGTCACTCTTTAAGTGACATGGACAGATGTGGAAGTTGAGTTATGGGAATCGGTGATTTAATACATGGGGTACGCATACTGTCGTGGGACAAAACCAAGAAGCGATAAAGATGGAGCACTGGAACGACTGTCATCTGCTGGAGATATTACATACATCCCTTTTCTAGCAAGTTGTCTTTGAGAGCATTAAGTGGAGGGAATCATTTGGGTACCATGATTCAAAAGTAGGGAACAGAGTAAACTGTCAGGTTATTCCTATTTGGAGTAAGATTTATGTGTGGTCCAGGGGAAAGATTGTGCCGCATCTTCATTCTTTCATGATGAGTTGAGATTGATGAAATATGTCGATATCTTTGTTCTGCTGGAACCCTTCAGTTATCTTGTCCCCAATCGTATCCTCAATCCACTCATGACATTATTGGTCAAATCGAGAAATATTCGGTATGAGCTTAACGGTGTCAGTCGTGATTGCATAGCGTATGCAACCTAGTCTCGAGTTCAAAGTTTTTGTCCTCATTGGAGTTGCACTCTCCCTGTTTGAGTTTTCGTATTCTTTTATTTTCGTCAGTGTGTTTCTCCCCCTCTCCAACCAGAATCGTTTCCAAGTCGATAAGAGATAATATTTCTAGGGACTTTGGTAGGTCCAAAACTTGCTTAATTACAAAGCAGTCGAAACAAAGATCACATATCATTGCAACTCTGTTAGTGTATGGTTTCCACGGGATGTGACACTTGAACTATTCAATACTTCGTATTGAATAGGGCCAATTTTTCTCACCCCAATGGAGGATACTGCCGCACAGAAAGGTTGACTGAAAGAGCCTTCCATCACCTCCATCGGGTTTTCAGGAATGATTCTTAGCTCGGTGTTTCCACATGCTTATATATTTTTGGCTTCATGGCCTTTCACGCAAACCTGCCCGTAAATTTTCCACTCCTCGTTCTTTTCAGCATGCTTCATCTTTAGATATGGCTTAAGAGCATCCTCAGACACATATTTGGAGCGATCTCGTGCAATAACATACAGCACTGCCCAAGAGGACGAGTAAGAGAATTGAATGCATGAGATTAGCATAGGAAGGGAGAAGTATTACGGTCTATATATAAGTCTAGGTGAAGATACTGTTCATATGTATAATTTTTTGCTTTCAATCTCTGCAAGGGAGACTCCACTTTTCATTTCGAGGTATATGTATTCAACCCCAACTGGGAGTGGATCTAGAGGTGTGCTAGAGGTCGTAGATTTTATTTTCCTCGTCCTGGTTAGGAGGAAATCTCTTGCATGTGGAAGGTGAAGGAGAGGAGTCGGCTTTCCCACCTAGCATCTTAGTTGGTCACCTTGTGACAGGATCCTTCTGATGATGAGATGATGTACTGTCGTGGACATATATATATATATATTAGGCTGTTCCAAAATAAATGTCCGAATTCGATCGCAAACTTTGAAGGGTCGTAACTCAGCTGATAATGAACATTTTTAATCGAAGTAAGCACCATCCGCTTCAACACACTTCTGCCAACGAGATACAAGCTTGTTGATCCCAGTCGAGTAGAAATCCTGGGTTCTGGAGGCGATGAAATCCTTAAAGGCATCTTCGGCAGAGGTCTGATCATGGAAGTGTTTCTCCTTGACGAAGTGATCCAGGTGTTTGAAAAAGTGGTAATCCGTA